AGCGACTGGTCATGAGCATGCTCTTAATAGTGGACCCTGCCACGAAAATCATGGACTCATTTGTCAATTTACCTTGCCGAGAGCACATGGCTCCGGCCCAATTTGATCGTTTTTACCTTTGCTTGATTTTCTCAGCCCACAGAGCGTTTCAGACGATTTCCTTGCGCCTATAGACTAGACTTAAAACAGACTTTCTGACCTTTCGCATCTTTTCACATCTCCCCTAATCATTCAACAACTACCGTGTTTGTCAGTCAAAAGTTTTGACACGCTGCACAATTTTATGCAATGTGTACCATTTTCTTGGTACCGGTCGGAGAGGTCCTCCGGTCGGATAAATTTTGGTATGGAGTTGGTGAAGTTTATCAGGCAAAGATGTCAAAATGGACTACATTGGAACATATGCAACAAAACTCGATTCCACTCCACGCGATAAATATTGGACAAGAGCGACTGTGGCGCAGGTATTCGGATATCAATGTCAGTATCGGGATGTCATCGCAGCCACGTATGAATTGATTTCTCATGCTCGTGTTCTATAAAACTCCCCATATATAATTAAATATTTGAAGAAGTACTTCCCACAATTGACCTCGTACGTACTGCGCTGCGTATTTACAGTTCGAAGGAGGAATGTAATCTAACGATATTCGCGCAACACGCATCAGCGGCCCAGTTCATCCAGCAACATTCGCAGCCCACAGCAATAGATTCTTTGGTGGATTCGACGGTGTGGATAGCGCAGTACCCTTAGTGGTGCCGCTCATATTTGCCGTCTCGGCCGTCTTTTCGCGATGATTGAAGAGTTTTTCCTGACAAGCTTGCACGTGCGAACGTGCAACAAGGTTATTCAGAGTCGTCATTATATTAGCTGTAGCCGTAGATGTGGACGCTGTCCCCACCACTTCCTGCCAAAGTGTAGCTGTTGGTAGACGAGCATAAATCCTTTTCCTCCAAGAAGTAAATCCGCTGCGCACCTAGGTGCGCAAATTTTAATCCTACGTACTCAGACTACTGATGGTGAGGAATACAACAAAATATTAACACAAATAGATTCCTAAAGCCTACTTAAGTAAGCTCTCACGACTACGAAGAGGACTGGAACCTCCAAATATACTGCTAAAAAATTTCAGATCCGATAGACGGCGGAAAAGCCCGTCCGTCTGCCACATCGATGTCATCACTTATACTGGTGAGGCAACAGTCTCTACGCATGCTAACAAACTCCTTGTGGGTGCTGGGGTACTGTCGAACGTCATGCGAAGTCCATGCATTGATAATAGCTGTGGTATATCTGAGTAATATTAATTTTTATATACTATAAGAGTTGTATAAGTTCTAGCAGCTAATCTAAAAGCACTCAAAATGAACGCAAAGCTCAGAACTGAATTGTGCTGTAAATCTATTATCTAATGACCATAACTCATCTTGACTTTGGCTTCGCGTTGATTAACGCAACATCGTAACATGAGATACAAAAACTTGATTTTATGCGATTAAAGTCCGTTGTACTCAGGGTAAGCGCTGCATCATCTTCC